ACGGTCTGCAGTCTGGCTCCGTCGTTCCCAGCCCGAGCCCCCAGATAGAAGGTGGCGGTCTGGAGGGGCTGAATCTGGCGCTGGACAAACTCAGGGCCGGTGTCAGTGGGACAAAGATTGTGGTCCCAATCTGAAAGCGAATGTTAGATCATGATGCTGAAAAGTGAAATTCGGTCAGCTATATGCTACTAATTAGTATCGCATTACCTACCTAGCTATAACTAGAGTTTAGCCTTCTTCAAGATAATAAAGCTCGCTTGTTCGACAACCAAGCACTTTGAGTACTCCCATATCCTGCGGGCTATTAATCAGAATCTGGGTCAAGAGAACTCGTATCGGAACATACCTAACCATCCATCAAACCTGACCTAGGACGTGGCCGTCCTCACCAACTACATCCCGCCACTTACTCCAGTCACCCCTGCCGTGGCGGGCTTTTCCTTCCTTATCCCCACCCTCAACACCTCCATCAGCCCCAGGAACTCTTTTCTCTCAATTGCATCTACCCACTGCTCAATTCGCCTGATATAGAATCCTGCCCCACACCTGCTCACAGCGCCCAGGAAGTCCACCTTGAGCGCGCCCTCGCTAACCTCCATATCCCACCCCGGCCGCAGCCGTCTCATGCGCGCACTATACACCTTTCTTAATTGTGTCTGCTCATACTCCATTAGATGTATCCAGTACAGCTCCGTCTTGCCCTCATTGTCTAGACTGTCTTCAAGCCCCTGCCCGATATACTCGCCGCCGCCGCCGTCGCTCCCCTTGTCACTGACGTCGGTATAGCAGTTTCTGTCTGGCCTGGTCTCACGCACGGCACCGCGCAGGAACTCGGGCATTTGGGAGGCCACCCACAGCGGCATGGTGGATACGCACTCCCAGTCGATGACTGCCGTCACCTTGACGTTGCCGCGGTCGTCGTCATCAACCATAATGTTCATGAGAGACAAGTCATCGTGCCAGAGCACGGTGGGTTCGGCTGGGTGCACCATGGCGGGGAAGATCTTGTGCAGCAGACGCAGGAGCTTGCGCGCAACGCGCAAGACGCCTTCAGCGTACTCGCGGTCGTCTTCATCCTCCTCGGCACTCCGGCACTCGGCGAGGGCGGTGGTGTGTTCCTTGATAATGATGGTCAGGTACGCACGCAGCCAGTCATGGGAGGAACGGAATGGGCCGCGCGAGATTGTGTAGTGGTAATGAGCGCCCGAGAAGAAGATGGGGTGCACGATCTGGCCCGGCTGAAGCGGATTCGACTGCTGGTGGAGGGTGCCAATAGTGCGCAATGTTTCTCGGTGGCTGCTCCTGCTGCTGCTGCTGCTGCCGCTGCCGAGACGGTACAGCTGGGCCTGGAAGTCAACGACGCGTGAAACTAGCAGCTCCTTTTGCTGCATGGTCATGCGGCGCCAGCGGTAGTAGACGGGCCGTCCCGGCATAAGCTGCATCAGGATCCACTCGAAGCCGATGTCGTTGTCGCTGGTGTCGTCAAAGGCGACGACCTTGGGCACGGGGATGTCGGTCTGGCGCTGGACCAGCTGCAGCGTCTGGACCTCGCCGCGCGTCTTGTTGTGCGGGTCGACGGGCAGCGACACGCGCATCATGAAGCGGCCGCGCGACGACGTGTCCACCAGGTAGAGCTTGTTGAAGGCGCCCGCCGTGTGGAAGAAGACGGCGCAGTCATCGGCATTCAAGTGGCGCCGACACACCCTCTCAATGGCGGCGATATTGGGCTCGCGCGCCCATCGCGGCTCCACGTCGAGGCCACTCGAGTCCCAGACCAGCCCGTCGCGGCTGGCGTCGCGCATCTTCTATTCTACCTACTTTATTGCGCTTGCAGCAGCATCAGACCACCGTAGCGGCTTTGGAGCGACGTTGAGACGATGCTCATGCTGGCGTGGGGTCGTCGCGGATGGGGGCATGTCGGATTGGATTGCTGCAGAAATGCAGAGAGCTGAGGTGCTTCAATTGCCTGGGTGCCTGGGTGCTTGGGTGCTTGGGTGCTTGGGTGCTTGGGTGCCACTGGTAGGGAAATGATTGGGCTCCAGTCTGAAAAAAGAAACCATCAAGTGGGACTCGCACGCGTGCTTTAATTGGCTGTCGCTTTAATTGGCCAGCGCTTGTGCTCTTCGAATACTGTGTACATATAGGAAGGAGCGATCTCTCTGAGCTTTGATGTTGAATTTGACTGGAAAATGATGGGTATCTCATCAAACGGCGAATTTGGTGTTTTCTCACGGTGTTGAAGTAGGTATTTGTGGATTTCGCGCTTGTTAGACTACAAGTTAATTATTTTCAGGGTTCGGTTTTATACACTACTTCTCACTTTCAGGGTCCATGTTTCAAAGCATAACGTCAAATACTAGTAGGGACTTAGCTTTACTCCGTACCTTCCATTGCTGTAGAGCAAACTGAACTTGTTCCATGAGCGGGCAGTTACCTAAGCAAATTCGTGTAAACCAAGCCTATATATCATCTTATCGCACTTTCAATCTCAATCAATCCGATGTCACTTCAGGTACCATGCAAGGTTCTTTGATGAAATGTGACCCTTTCAATAACAAAACACCACATTCATGGGAAACATATCCATCTGCCAAGTTGAATTTGATACTAGGAAATACTTTTTAGGCGTTGAAACACAAAGCTTGTCTCACTTCCATCTGTGTATCTTTGATCTTGGTGACTTCCACGAGTCACTGCTGCTGCGTCATGCCCTAGCACAATCAGGAAGGAGCGCCTGGAGCTTTCCCCGCTTCCAAAGCCAGGTTGCCAGCAAATCGGAAGCTTCTTTCAGCACCCTCGCCGCAGTGCAACGTCCTGACAGCTCGGGCCAATCCACGTCAGCTTTTATCAGTAGCTTCTCCAACCACCTTCTGGCCCTCGGCGATGATCGCGTTATTCCCATAGCTCTAGTCTTGAAGCTTCTTGCACCACCCATCTTTTACGACCCTTCTGTCTTTTTCTTTCGTGCGCATCATCACATCAACAATCCCTATCTGCCTAACAATCCATTCCCAACAGACAATTTGACATTACAGCACTGCATCAGAATGGCTTCCCTATTTCCACCACGCCCCTCGCCTGACGATGACAACACCACGGCCTCGTTCTTCGCGCACTCGTCGGCGCAGCGTGTCAATACCGACGCCGTCATCTCGTGGGCCCTCAAGGCGCAATATCCGCACCTTTCGCTCGTGATTGCGCCCTCCAATTACAACGTCGACCTGTTGGCCTTTGCCTCGGCCGGCCACGCCAGCTACACCGCCATCGAGGGCCCCCCCTCATCAGCGCTACCCGCCTCCGTCATCTGGAAGGGCTACATCCCCCCGTCGCGGCGCATTGACGGCTCGCCAGGTGCGCTGGTTTCAGGTGTTGAGTTCGCCAAGTTCCTGTACAAGTGGCAGGGCACCGAGTTTCTTCTCTACGTTGTCTCGGGCAGGGACGGCACCGAGCCATATCCGCAGGTGCGCAACAACTACATCCTGACGACAGACACCCACAAGGCGGATGCGCTCATCGTGGAGGCCGGGAGGTGGGGCACCGAGTTGCACGATGAGATTTGGGTGTGGGACCGCGGGTATTGGCAGAAGAGTGCTGAGCTCTTCGACAGCGTGCGAGGAGCGCGCTGGGAGGATGTCATCCTAGACGAGGACATGAAGAAGGCCCTTAGAGAGGATCACAGGAGCTTCTTCGACTCGAGGGACACATACAAGAGACTCAAGGTGCCCTGGAAGAGGGGTGTTATCTACTATGGCCCCCCCGGAAACGGCAAAACCATCAGCATCAAGGCTATGATGCGCGAGCTGTGGAGCAGAGACGACGATCCGGTCCCTACTCTCTATGTCAGAAGCTTCTTTTCTGTGAGTCGAGCTTCCACTCCTCCCAATCAACTCCATGCAGTCATCACCTGCTGACGACAGGTTTCTCTGAGCAGTACAGCGGCCCTGAAGCTGCCATCAGCCAGATCTTTGGCAAGGCGAGAGAGCTGGCACCCTGTTATCTAGTTATTGAAGACCTGGACTCTCTCGTTTCCGACGGCGTGCGCAGTTACTTTTTGAACGAGGTAGATGGTCTCAAAGGCAACGATGGCATCTTCATGATTGGCAGCACCAATCATCTGGATAGGTTGGACCCGGGCATTTCGGTGAGTGGCTGCAACTTCAGCGGTACTTACCTCCTTCTGCATAATAGTACTGACACCTCACAGAAACGCCCATCCCGCTTCGATCGTAAATATCTCTTTCCCGACCCCGACCGCGACCAGCGCATCGCCTATTGCCAATTCTGGCAGAAGAAGCTGGCCGACAACAAGAAGATCGAGTTTCCCGACAAGCTCTGTGGTGCCATTGCTGATATCACTAACAAGTTCAGCTTTGCTTACATGCAAGAAGCGTTTGTTGCCGCCTTGCTAGCTATTGCCCGTGGTGATACGGGCGGCGAGAGCAGTATTCTGGGTAATGAAGAGGTCGATGGTTGGGTGAGCGTCTCCGAGGACGATGGGGATAGCGATGACGATGATGACAGTCTCAAGGATCTTCTTTTGTGGGAGGAGATTCAGAGACAAGTGGCAATCTTGAGGGAGGGGATGGACAATGAGGACCGAGGAGATTAAACCCGCCATGGGTCAGTCTGATAATAAGGACTTGGGTACATTGGTAGGAAGATTGGCAGGAGCTATGAGGGCTGGAATATGTGCTTTGAAGGTGCAGTGGGAAAGTAGCAAGATTGGTTAGTGTGCACAAAGCTGGAGTGCTGGACAGAACACAAAAAGTTCTAGCAAGGAGAGCTGCGGTACCAAGACGCAAGCAAAGGGAAGGGCAATGAAGGAGGCCACCACTTTGTCACAATCAGGTTTACTAATGCTACTAATGCTTCGCCAGCCTTGACATAACAAGATTACTAATAGGAGCATGATACAAAGTAAGGCAGTTAAACTAAACAGGAAAATTATCACAAAAGAACACAGGTAGCTGCTCCTATCTCAGAAGCCAAAAAGAAAGCTTTGATTAGAGTGGGATTCGAACCCACGCCCTTTCGGGCCACGAAATTATGCTTCATATTCAAGACATGGTAACAAGGATAAAGAGCTTGAAACATTTTAACGTGGCGCCTTAGACCGCTCGGCCAAAGTGGTTATCGCACGACTCAGTGCTTTCGAAAATCAACAATTCGGATTGTGTCTTTGGGTTTTACTCAGATATCATTAGGATAATAGGCAGTGTAATGTGCAGCAATCGTAACAACGAAGACAGCATACCCCGGTAGGTACGGTTTACAGATGTCTCGGTAGAGAGAGTCGATTGATGAGGTACTGTAATGTAATTGATATCCATATTGCAGGGGGTTCGAATATTACGATTCATGTGACAAGAATCACATTGCAAGTTTCCCTTTATAAATTATTACATTGTAGACAGCCAAGACTCTTTCATTATAAACTAGATAACTATGCATTTGCTCAAAATCTTTTGAAGTACTTTCTTTTCCTATTGCTTAATTGCTAACTTGAACCACTAGACTACTTGTAGGCTAGCTGATAAACCCCTAGAGGAATTCAGCAGCGTAATGTGACTGCCAAGGGTCTCTCTAGGCAACATCGCACATCAGTTACATGGATTATATGGAATTTACCGTAAGCTACCTAGTGTGCAGAAATCCGCCCAACACCCCTCAAAATGCAAACTAGGTAGGTACTTATGACACAAAACAATCATCTTTCCGAGAGTAAATGAATAGCCTCTGTGAGACACGTCTATTTTCTCTTTGAATCTTACAATCCCCAGACAGCCAGACTAGGTCTACAGACAACATCACGAAATAACGTCGGCCATCATTCATTGAGACCTTTCGTCGGTCAAAAGCCGGACCATCCAACGTCGTCATGGCTGTCGAAGATGATTCCAAGGAGCAACTGCTACCTGAAAAGCCCAAGCCTCCGCTACACGACGAGAAGGGAGCTGGAAACGCTGCTGGAAAAAGTGGAAAGTCCCACACGAGCCATGGACGTCTTGTTATGATATGCATGGGGCTTGTCCTTCTTCTCAACGTAGGTTGGGGGTTAGGTTTGTCTGGATTCTGCTGGCCAGCCAGGCACTCCTAGCGGCGGACCGTGAAAGTCTTTTGACCATTGTTCTGCCTTACGCCGAGGCACGATTGGATATGTCCATGACAGGTGAGCTAAACGAAAGTTACACGTACTTCCGAGCATTACAGAGAGACTGGTATTAACATGTGCGCTTTTGTGATTTCTCGTCGACGCTCATTCTTGTCGTTCATTACTTGGTCGTGGCTATCCTGTTTATACGCATCTTGCCCGCCGCCGGCTCCCTGCTCAGCTCCAAGTTTGCCTTCAAAGCCTCTGCAAAAGACCTCGTCCTACTTCAGACGAGCGCAGCCATCGTTACTATCGGCACAGTCACGGCCGGGCTATCCAGCACGGCCTCTCGTTTCATCCTCGCTGGGGCTGTCACTTCTGCAGGCTCCGACTCCACGCTGCTAGCCCACAGCCTGTTGCCAGCGTTTGTCGGGAGCCAGCGTGGTATCGGGCTTTTGTACAAGTCGCTTGTTGTTGTTGACAGGGGCGCTTATTTGGTGGCCAGATGGGCGCTCTCAAGACTGATCGGGGTCGGTTTGGAGTGGGATGGGGTTTGGAATGGGCTGCCATATCTTGTTGCGGGTAGGTTCTTAGCCATGGCAACAGCTCCGGTTGCCCAAGACCTAGACATTGCCTGAAATGTTAGACAATTCTCTCTTTATTTGCTATGTCTTTGCGGCCGGTCAACAAAGCAGCACAAAAGTGGGACTGCTACGGTGCAGCGTTTCTTGAAGTTTAGAATATGAAAATACCGAGAAGCTATTAAGTTGAGCAAAAAGGAGAGAGTTGACATTTTTAAGACTGTCACGGTGCAGTTGTGGAATAGATGGATAGTGCGTATTACCTTCCTTAGTGGAGTTTAAGAGACGATGAAAATGGATTCGTAACAAGTTACACAAGCATGGAACCTTGGCACTTCAATAAAGTAAATAAACCGTCCGTCGGGGCCAAAAAAGCAGTGCTAACTGCAAGTCCAAATTGAGGTAGTTTTGGCTAATTACGGCCCGGGTCTTCCAGGGTGACTCTTGGGCCCTTGGCAACTGTTCAGAGGTACGAATATACCTAGCCCTTCACAAGGCGAGAGACAGGCTCGACAGGGTCCAAGTGCAGGGCCCACACGGGCTGGCGGGAAGGCCCCGCTCAACAGGCGCCGACAGACAGAACCTGTGGACCCCCAACCCGTCTGCTGGGTCGTAACTCCCGTCGTAACTTGCAGTGTATCCTGGCCCCTGGGTGGGTAATTTACATTTCGCATCGTCGCCAAAACACGATCGCGTCAAGTCGTAGCTTCCTTTCTCTTGATAATTGCCCCCTCAAAGTCACGTCTTCTTTCGTATTAATCCGTGAACTGATACGATCCATCTGCCCGGCAATACTCTCCCTAATTGTCAAGATGGCGATTTACCACAAGCCGTTTACCAACTACATCTGGCTGGCATGGTTTTCTCTCCAGGTCCCCATCATCCTCTGCAAGTGTCTTCATCTCCTTTAACATTTCCATAACATTCCACAAACCTCCTCTCCTTTTTAGACTCTTCCCCAACTAGACTAATACTTGCACCATGCACAAATCCTACTAGTGATCGACATGCTGCACTTCTACCCAACCTGGCTGTATAAACCGACCGACTCCCCACTGCACTTTGCGGAAAAGATCCAACAGAACCATATTGCAACCTACAACGACCCGTACGTGCAGTGGTTGCCGGCCACGGCCGTTCCCTCGGGGCATGACAGTTGGATCGGCCTCTTTCTCTACATTGAGCTTGCCTTTTTGCTGCCAACGGCTCTGTACGGCGTGTACCGGCTAGGCCTCGATAGTCGCGGCAGAAAACAGGGCACCAGCGGGGGCGATGAGCTCTTGTTCCTGGTATATGCCTTCGAGACGGCGCTGACGACGCTGGTGTGCGTCCACGACGTGTTTTACTGGGACAAGGAAGTATACAGTCCAGAGGTGATGAGATCGTATCAGGTGAATCTCCTGGGACCGTGGCTGGTTATCCGTAAGTATGTCCCGTACCTACTCTGTTCTATTACACACTGACACACAAGTGCAGCGTCGCTTATGTTTGTTGACATGGCTTCACGCATCATGAAGAGGGTCAGGGTGGCGGATGCGGCGGTCCAGGGAAAGAAGATGCAGTGAGAAAAGCGTCAAAGATTTCGAGACATTGGCAGGTGGGCAGAGGCAGACAGACAGCAACCCAAGTTAGATAACGCCATATACCCGCCAAACCAAACTCCGTTACCATGGTACATTTACAATAATGTCAGAATACATGTGCCCGTGAGCTACCCCGCTTCAGAATTTTTTTTTTTACAAGCCACAGTCTCAAGATTTCACCCCGTCCATCACATACCCCCATCGAGTTCCTTTAGCAGCCGTGTGTGTGGCTGCAAACCGTTCCAGTCTCGACTCCATATGTTCTCATCATGCTCAGTCAATCGCTCGCTTCTGATACCCCCAGCCATTCCCAACACCATTCAGGCCATAGGCCAACGGTGTGGCACCCCCGAGGCCCCTACCCCTTAACCGTCTGGGCAGAACCGAGCCGAAGAAGTAGACGGCCGCCACCAGCACGCCGGCAATGAACGAGACCAAACTATAAAAGACGGTGCTCGCATAGATATGGCCGCCCATGCCTGCCCACTCCACCTTGCCCTCGATCTTAGGCAGCGCCGGGGTCGGGAACCACCTGACACTAAAGCTCAGGGGCAGCGGGTCGCCAATGACGAGGCGCCGCGTCGCGCTCCCTTCCATGTGCGTGAGCGGGCTGGTGCTGTAGGCGGTGGCGCTGTCGAGCACGCCGCTGTCGTGGACGTGGATGTGGTGCTTGGGGGTGCTGTGCAAGAGCACGTTCATGTGGGTGCTGATGTGCATGTGGCTGAGCTGGAGGGTGCCGGCGAGGGCAAAGACCAGCGGTATGTACTCGGTCTCGTGGGGCTTCTCGCCGACGGTGGTGACGTGCGGCGGGGGGCGGGACGGCAACCGACAAGAAAGGGGCGCGTCGCTGTGGATGTAGAACTCGAGCAGGTGGAAGAAGGGGTCGCTGACCATGGGGATGGTGCAGTTCTGCTCGCCCTCGATGCCGTAGTGGAACTCGAGCGGCTGGCTGGTCTCGTTGCAGACGGGGAAGGGGATCCATTGGATCTGGTGCGCTGCGTCTTCGATGTGTTCGCCCGTTTCGCTTCACCCTAAGTTAGAGATGATGGGTCCAGAAGAGACAGGGAGGTTGATGGTGGTGGTGGTGATGCTCACGAGCTTCGATTCATGCACTCGACGCGAATGGGGGCGCCGTAGTGATACGACGGCAGCGTGTTCTCGTGCGCGAGCTCTGTCGTGGTCGCAGCAACCTCGAGAGCCCCGGTCGCCAGCAAGAGCGCGACGGGCGCCCAGGGGAGCAGCATCTTGGCCCGACGGTGTATGGGACGGATGACTGGGATGGCTGGTTTATGCGCTGGGCCAGAGCATTTTGCGTCGCTCGACAAGGTCGGATATGAGGTATTCGTATTTTGGCAGACAAAATACTTTGGCAGACAAAATACTTTGGCAGACAAAATACTTTGGCAGACAAAATACTTTGGCAGACAAAATACTTTGGCAGACAAAATACTTTGGCAGACAAAATACTTTGGCAGACAAAATACTTTGGCAGACAAAATACTTTGGCAGACAAAATACTTTGGCACCTCAGCACCGCCCGAATGCTCAAGCTTCAATTGGAGCTTAGTTAGTGCGTGCAGTCCCGTCGCTGTCGCTGTCGCTGTCGCTGTTGCAGGGGGGGGTGGCCCAAGTAGCAGCCCGAAATACTGTGCTTAGTCATACTTTAAGAGAGCGCTGTCATGCACCACTGGCCGTTGCCTCCTCCAAGTTTGCTAGGCCGAGCAGCACACGTAAGGTTGCAATTAAAACCTAGAATTTACGAAAACAAACCGAGTTTTTACACATCCCGATATTTCTTCATGTTTCACAGCTCGCTATATCTATATCTCGACCGCAGGCGCAAGCTTCTTCCGAGTTGCAGCTCGACTGCCTT